TTATGGATATTTATAACGCCGTTACGAATTTACAATCGGCTATTATCAAATCTGCAGGAGCAATTAAATTTTAGTCTCGTATTCGTGCCCCCGTGAGAATATTCTTTCGTTTGTATCTTTAATGATTGCTTTTAAACATGAATACATTATGAGACGCTATTAAAAGTTTGATAGGTGGCATTATTTTTATTTAATAAAAGCTTTTGCCTGCGACTTCGTTCACGTGAGAGTTTTAAAAACTAAGCTAACTAAATTTCCACTAAGTTTATAATATTATTAAGATGTTAGATGGGATGAAGATATAAGGTAAATATAAATGAAGAAAACCACTAACAGGACTTGCTGTTAACTGATATGAAGTATTCATTTTTTATATATTTAAAAAAAACCGTTTATAATAATAAGTTTAAGGAAACTGTGGGGTCGTTTCAGCTATAAAGCATTTATCCCTTCGTAGGCCTTAACCCGCTAAATCTTTTCTGATCCAAACTCAATTGTGACCCTGGATAGCCGATCCATTAAATCAACGATCTTTTTGGATATCATAAATGCCTTCCAGGCTTTTATAAATATTGTTTCAGCTTCCTTGTTTATTTTTACAGACAACTCAAATATTGTGCTATCTGTTATATTGCTGTATAAATATGGACTTCTATATTGTTTATGTTTTCTTTGTAAATGTTAGCATCGTTGATTTCATTGCATGGACATTAGATATTATTTTTTAAGATATTTTTAATTCGATGTTTAAAATATATAAGGTAGTTATTTAAATTAAATGCAAACTTGGAAACGCGCAAAAACATTTCCGCAGTAAAGTCCATCAACCGTTCATTTAGTTTTGAGGCGAGTGCTTTGGATGGCTCGGTAAAAACATGATTTGAAGTTTCACCAACGCTCGCAGTGGCTACGTGTTTATTGAAAAACTTGCTGCGCTCATAGAACGTCTTCCAGTTAATTAAATAATTCGAATTTACATGCATAATATAAAACAATTTAAAAACTCTCACGAATTATTCACATTTGGGTTTCTTAATTATATGCTCGCAAAATACACTGCTTAAATATATTTTAAATCGTAACTGGTCTACGGAAAAGTTATGTTCCAGTTTTTAAACATAAATTGTTCCTTAAATAATCTTTATTGCCATCGTTATTTATGACGATTTGGTAACGTCAAGGCAATTTGTATATTAAAAAAAAAACCTTATCACTGGAGTCCGAAAATCGCATCATTTTGTTACATTGTTACTGATTTACTGCAACATCAAAATTGATTCCATGACGTATATAGACGTAGTTATATCCGGTTCCGTTGCACTATCAATAAGCGATCGAGACGATACGCACTCGAGTGTTAACGACAAATGAATGCAAATTTCACACCAATTTGTGTTTTGTTTATCTGTAAGGAAGTGTGCATTGGGTTGGGCTACGAATAACAAACATAACTGATTACACAGGCAGATTTAATTAATTTTCTGTGTAATTAAGGGTTTCTTGGACACAATCATCCATATTCTTCCATATCTTGGATCTAGACAAAATGATTTTAATCTTTGCCTGTCATTTTGGCAGAAATGCTATCCTTTGTCTCTACAAAATCACTTAAAACTGTATCACAAGTTTTATAAAATCTTTGCATTCTTTAGAATAAAAATAAGAAACTGATGGAACATCTATGACTAAAAACTTATGTTGCAAAAAATGAATTATTTTTTTCAACATAACCGCACAAATAAATGACAAATCAGGTTTCTCGTATTAGTAATCACTTATCTGTGGTTATTGTTTCCGGAAGCGGTGATAGCTTAACGACAGGGCGTTGGCCTTACGATGTAACGGTCTTGTGGTCGAATTAGACCTCATAGGTTTCCGCCTTTTTTCGGTTTTAAAAAAAATCACACGTCGAAATTAGATTTTATGTGTTTTTATTCTATGATGGTAGATTTCAAATCCGAAAATATTACGTGCGTTTTCAGTACAAAATTATTCACCATCATCTTCTGCATAGCTTATCCTACTCTCGTAGTGTCTGCGCACTGGGGTTTCGTCTTCCTAATAACTGTCATCCGGCATCTCAGTTATTACTCCCTTCTTGATCATGTCACCTTTCACGCAATCCATCCATCTCTTTCTAAGTCTACCTCTCCCGGTGTACATTACACATTCATATTTTTAATCTCTAAATATTTACTAGTAATCCAATAACCTGAAGAAAAGAGAAAATATTAAGCTGGTAGCTTTTGCGCTGTCTTGTCAGCTTATTTTTCCCCAATAAGTAGACAAGAACGCGATGCTGACACGTCGAAAACATTTCTTTGGTTTGTTTATAACGAGACCGGACGGAGTGGTTTCGACTTCCTCCCAATAAGTGGATAATGAGCTGACCATCTTGTTTTGCTCAGTGAGAATGCAATTTGCCGCTTTTTTGTTCTATAAGTCCTGGCGAATAGACATTCCTTAAAACGTATTCCTTCGATAGTGCAATGACCCGATTGAATTTGTTAAAAGCGGAAGCTATAATTCAAAGCAGACTTGGACACATTAAGATTCCATTTGAAAAGGTGAAAAATTTATGTGACTCAGAAATTAAAAATGAAATAGAAGTAACTATTCCAATCCCACAGTAAAATGTAGATTACTAAAATCGAAATTAATTTCTACGAATTTTGTGAAAGCTGTAGGTAAAGATATTTTAAGAAAGGTTTTGGTCTAAGGTTCATTTCATAAAATGACGGAGATTCTAAGATCGAAGTGAAAACGAACCTTTATAATAATATTACTGCTTAATGAGAGCATAAAAAGTAAAGCAATGTAATTAAGGAAAGAGTAACTCCGTAACTTGCGAGTAGGTACTAAATAACTTAGTCCCCGCAGCGCTTGAAAAGCTGCTACATAGTAACATGTAGGTAGTCGTAAGTCACGTTCCAAGTTAACGTAACTTAACGTAATGCAACCGAGAAAATTACATGTTACTCGCGCAAAGAGGTTCTGTAATATATCCGTACGTAAAAACATAAAATGCTCGACTTTTATATTACTTTTTTTATGACGTGATAATAAAGTTTTGGTAATTCTAGTTTAGCTTGTAATTTGTTTACTTTAATGTTATGTTTGTCAGATACCGACAATGTTTGACATTTTTAATTTAGATATTTTCTTATCGTCTTATTTGTCAGCAGTTCAGAAGAGAGAATAAAATGTAACTTATCTTACGTTAAAAAACAAAGGCAGAAGAAAATAAATACCTATGAATTTTCTATAACATTTTTAATTTTGAAAGTCTGTTAATAACACAAAGAGAAAAGATATGCTAGTAAATGTATTGATCGAATTTATGGGAAAGTAAGTTCTTTAATATTTACTTTTTAAATCCATGATTTCATGGTCGATCCACACATCATATTTGAGCTTCAAGCTTATTCGACTCTATTACGTATAATCCCGGTATTATTTTAGAGTCTTGCATTAGTAAAGTCCGTTACGAGTGATTTATTCGCAAAAGCAAGTCGTAAATTTTCGCCAGTACGAAGTGCCCGCGGGAACAGATGGCGTTTCTCAACTTTTTGCTTATGAAGATGTTTCTCACGTTTACATTTCAAAGATACTCCTGAATGATTTGAATATCGAGTGGATCTAATAAATAAAAATGTACTTCAATTTCATACTTTATTGATGATTTGCTTTTTTATACTAGCGAGTGGGAAACAATACGCGACTAAAAGTTAAACAAAAACACAAACCCATTCACAAAAGAGTGGGTAGAAATTGTCATATCGATTTCCCAATATTGTGACATCTTTTTTGGTATAGTAGTTGTCAAATATCATGGTAGCTCAGAACATCATACAAGTCCTTGCGCATAATGTAATTTTTGGTGTAACAGTCGTAAAAAGATGCGGGGAGAGGGCACTGCAGCACGCAGTTGACCTTGAGCTGCTGAGATATTTGAAAAGTATACTTCCTTATAATCTACGCTTACTCATGCATCTCATCTTTTTTTTAACAAATGGCATTCGTCGCCTAGGCGCCACTCGCTAATATTAAATGCAAAATTCTCAGATAATTTATTACAACAACAAGACATTAAAATGCAAAATAACTATGATATCAGCGTTGCTATAGAATAAATCTGGTCGTCTTATTACAGCTACATACGCTTGTTTTAATAATAATTGTGTTATTTAATATGTAGCTTGTATTACCCGACCTTAGAGGTTTGGTTTTTTATTTTTTGAGAACAGAGATAAATTTTTTCATGCGTAAAAAGTACAAACTAGTCCAATTTTGATGAGTGAGGTATCAATCGATTCGAATTCTCTGCCCGATTGTCAGTCGAGTTGTTAAGTTTGAGTTGTTGTTGACAAATACAGTGATTGCTATTATTGTTGATTTTATATTAACTAGGGTTATTAAACGTTATGCATTAACTTGAGCGCCTTTTTATGAGGATATTACAGGTTTTATGGCCGGAAACGGCATCACTTTGATGTCCCACGGGCTATATTATTTTATATTCAGAGTTCTATCTTTTTTTTGTCGCCTGATATTTCGATGTTTTCTGAATCGACTTGTTGACATTGCCTTTTTATTAATGTTAAGCCGAATGTAAAAATGTATTTTGCACATTTTATACTCGCTTTTTGTTTAATAAAAAAATAATAAGATTGTTTACGTTATTTAAAAATTTTAACCTTTTTACAAATGAGAATGTTTTTAATTTATACTTTTTTTTAGGAGTCGCATTCTCAATATCTAATATGATATGCATTTTATTTTAATTTCTTATGACTGAGATCCAATATCAATGTTACGTGAATGGTGGTTTAAAAATCAAAACCTGAACATTTTTCTCAAAAATGGTTTTTATACATTAAGATGTCAAAAACTTTTATGGAGCCTAAGCAACCATTTTTTCGTGTTAATTTCAAAATTTACAGTCCAATATAAAAATACAGCAATCTATATTTTATTAAACAATATTTTTTTACTTTCAGATATTTTTAAAGTGATGATCACAAACGACAGAGCTTCATAAAATGAAACTCCGACTCCTATTAGCGTTAAGCGCTTTTTTACTGTGCGACGCTAAACTGGCCGGATTAAAGCAGATCATTCCATCCAACGAGCTACCGCCAAACCCAACGCAGAACACACAAGCGCTAAAATTGCTGCAATTTGATACAAAAAATGCGAAAACGAGACGTATAACAGATCAATACAAAGTGCGACAACGACGAGAAGTTTTCGATTCAAAATCGTACGAATCGAGTTTGACGTGGGCGCATTCGGAGAGACTCGATGAAAACGGAGACGCAGTACTACGATGGGTGAATTCAGATTCGAGTATCACGTTCCGTCTAGAAGCGAGAACCCGTGGTTATGTCGGCTTAGGCTTTAACAAGGGGCGTAATATGAGAGGGGCGGATTTGGTGGTCGCCTGGGTGGACGACAGGAATGGCAACGCTCAAATTTTGGTGAGTTTTTATGGCACCTGCTGTTTTTTCGCACGGTTTAATGTGGCGCAGTTTGCAAGGACATTTTATGTAAACAAAAATATAGTCTGTTAATACGCACAATTTTACTTCATTAAAATTCATTCACTCTATATGGATTTCGATTGGTGGTATCAATTTATTTTATAGTGATATCTGTTTTATACTTTAAAAATATTTGATGTAAATTCTGCTTCAGAATAGATTCACAAGCTCCTTCGTAAAATGCATTTAAATTTTCTGCACTTGTTGGGAATTCAAATTGCTGTTTTTCCAGCCATTCCCAGCCAACTCATTTTCTTTATTATTCCGTTCATTGTTTTATCTTTCTTTAACGTATTTATGTCGTCTTGGTTGTATTCTTTTACAAGTTTTTATTTATTGTATCAATAGTTCTTGTTAAGAGAATATTGTATTAAAAATGTAATATTTAATACAATATGAATATACTTCGTCCTCAATTATTCGTCATGAAATAATTTAGCTAGTCCTTAGTATATAAATGAGATAATTCATTAAATAATATTTTTGAATTTAATTGCTTTCAACGTTTTTGCTTCATATCAATAAAATTTAAAACGCTACGCTTTAATATGTTACAAGGCATTTAAGAATTATGTTGCAATATTTTTAACCTAATTACTTAAAAAAAGTATCAAATTATGTCGCTGTTATTCTAACATGTGTAATATGATACATGTAGCTATGTACAAACAACTGTTACGTAAGGTCTCTATTTGCGATTCACTTGCAATTCTTCTTTCAATTTAGGATACACGAATATAGTACCTATATGTAGGAGGTTAACGTCTATGTTGTAAGCAAAAACGTTTTCACCATAAACAATAGGCTTGCGGTTTTCGACGGGCATGTCAACGTCCCAGGCATCGAACCGTGACCGCCGCTAACAGCTTCTTCGTTGCAGAGATTCTCGTTTTTTGTAAACATAGGATTTTTCTAAAAAAATGCGCTTGCGAATAAATGTTGTTCTTTTTGCTATCAACCGGTTTGAAGACCTGAAATAGGGTGACATGAAAAGATAAGTTGGAAGGACTTGAACATTTTGAGTTAATAGGCACAAAATATCGATTTTGATGACTGTAATGCATACATTACATTTACAACTTTCCTAAGTTCAAACTTCAGGATAAAAGTGTAGTACTTCTTAAAAGCTCGGCAACGCACCTGCAGCTTTTGTTGTAGATGTCATGGGCTCCATGGGATCCGCTGTCTCATTGTCTCCCTATTCCATATGAAAAATATGCAAGTTTAATATACTATAACAACGTAACCTGACTGACATCGAAAGGTATAGAACAAAAAGATTGTGTTAAAAATAGTGTACGTAAATTGTTACTTAGACACCAGTTAACAAAGGTATACGTTAAGTGCTATACGATATTTTGCATTTCAAATTGTCAAATAGGACAGTGCGGACGAGCACTTACCATGAGGTGAATGTCCTACTCATTTTGTCGCTTAAAAGGATAAAAAACTGTTCGTGTTTTTATTCAGGTGTTTTTGTTGTAGACAAAGCATTATTTTCTTTTATAACATTTTAAAAATGTTTTTTCTTTTAAATTAAACCGTAAGATTGGTAGAGCTTTTTGTCCAGATATCTGTTTCATTTTTGAACCAATTCAAACTCGATAAGCGTAAATAATAATACCTTTTCATATGATTGTCTAAGTAATTGGTACAAAATCTATCATTTATCCTTACCGATAAATCAAGATTATTTGGAACATTGACTAGAGTCGTGAGACCGCACATCGTAAATAATTAATTACACATGGAAAATTACTTAGCTCAGGCTCTGTATTAAAAAAAAAATATTCTATGTTTACCTCATTTATTATTTACTTACGTCGATATTGGTAAAAAAAACTTCATAGCTTATAATTGGTAGCTGGTAATACGATTGAAAGGATAATAAAGTATATAACAAATTCCACATTACATTATTGAGATTAGCTTCCAATTTGAAAACTCTATTTGGGATATCTAAACGAGATATCGGAATACGCTCCAAATTTTCATTCCTCGATATATTTCTCCAATCGGTAATGCGATTTTTATGTAACGATATTAAATTGTATATATTTACTGATAGTATTCTCAACTTGATAACGACAAAAAGATATATTCACCATCAGCCCAATTAAATACACTTCAATGTGTAATAACCAAGTATTTTTTTGTTTACCCCTTAACTTGGCAGAATTTTATTAATATGAATATCGATATAATATTCATAGCACTTAACCTTGGTGACCCAAAGTGTTTAGAAAAAAAAATGTATCTCTACAGATACACTACCAAGAAAAGGGTTACAAGTTTGAATTCTAACATTTTTTTTTGCAGTTTTTGAGTGTAAACTAAAAGTAGAGTGTAGCCTAGCGCTAGCACTTTTAGCTCACAAAGGTACTACTCAATGTCGTGTCTTTTTCTTGAGTGCACTTGAACTTCTAGGAAATTTTAATTTCTACGAAATACAAAGCACTATTAAAGGAATATAAAATAAGTCACTTCTAAGTACTTACTGCTAAAATTATACAATATTTTCTAGACAATTTTTTTTTTAAATATTAAAGTAATAAATGGTTGAAGTTTTTACTTCATGCTATCAATATCATATGTCATTTACTTAATCTTATCTCGAAAACCTTTTTGATATAAAAAGTTTTATCAACCCAATAATGAAGTAAAGAAATTATTAAATAAGATTATAAGCCTTCAGATAACTTGTTTAAATTTATTAAAGGGGCAAATAAATTTAATTGAACGTTAGTTTACAAATTCCATGATACGCACAAGTGGAATGTTTTTCTAAGTGTAGAGACACATTACAATGTAGAACATAAATGTATTACAAAGGCTGTATTTCTGGCTACTGCTTAGGTAATTTCCTTAGTCCTATAGTGTTATATGACAGGCGTCAAGTGGCCTTATCGTGTGAATATGCGATGTAGGTGTTTATTGAATGCATCTCGTTTCCTAAACTACTAAAACGCCTCTTGCATACTGATCTGTTACAACAATTTATGCGCTAGTCTTTCGTGTTGATAGCCGCTAACTTTGTCCTCAGTTTAATCTAGTTATTTGTATAGTACTATATCATATACGAACGGTTTGTGGTAATTTACTTCTTTCTTCTGACTAATATTATAAATGCGAAAGTTTAGATGGATGGATGGATGTTTGTTAGAGTTTGTAGCCAAAGCGGCTAACAGATATAGACGAAATTTGGCATAGATGTAGAGTATAGTCTGGAAGAACACATAAGCTCATCATCATCAACATCACCAGTTCACTATACTTCCCCTACCGAGGGGCTCGGAGCCTACCCTAAAGTTTTAACAGTGGTAGAGCCCGCTTTAACATCTTCGCACGAATGGGCCGGCTCGCCCGGTGCAATACCACGACCACACAGAAAACAGGCGTG